TACATATTAGAGAGTATATCAAATTAGTTTTGATCGGTACTTTGTACGCCGGAATATACAACCGCCGTATTTACTTTCTTTGTGTTGGGGCAAAATCGGGTACTTACATATCTCATATAATGAAAAGAGGAAGCACTGTTATCCTGCCTTTGTCTCCCTACAAAAAGCAATTAGAAACGAAAACTAACACTCAGAAAAAGAAACGACTAAAAAAAAAGCTTTTTGAGACTCCTAAAGTTAAAAAGTTAAATAAGGAAGTCCTGCAGCAATGTCGAACAAGAGAATATCATTATTTGTAATTTTTGTCAATAGAATACATCTTTATATTGTACAAAACCGGGTACTTTGACTTCTCCACAAAATCTTGTTATTCTTGGTAATCAAAATTTTTTTTTTTAGCAGCTAGTCTTATTTTCTCATAGTTTAAGGTTCACTAAAGACTACTAACGATCGGTAAAATTTTGTTTACTCTCAGATTTTTTGTAGGAAGACAAATCCTAAAAAGTACCCGGTTTTACCCTACTTTTCCCTATAATGTTGTAAAAATATGTATTTGATTTTAGCATACGAATTTATTTTGCTTATGTGTGAAAAATGTTTACTTTTTTCCACTAGATAGGTATCATGATATACAGTATGTTTACAGTACAGTTCCTTTTTTCGTATTTTACATTAAATTAATATTTTTGATGTGTTTTATTACTAAAATATGACGGTTGAAACCGAGTCAATATGACACGCAAATAATAAATGTTTCGCAAAAAGAAAAGTGATTATCATAAATACACACAGAATATTTCTTATTATAAATATAATAAAATAAAATAATCAAAATTATTTCATTAAACGAAAACATCAATTTCCAACTACAAGAAAACTTTCTGGGCGTAAAGTTAAATTTGGTCGATGGAAATAATAATATTTTTCATTAAAATATGGAAATTGTTAGAAGAACAAATTTTTAAAAACTTTTTGATATGCATGATATCGTCAAATAATTATTATAAATCCTACACAAGTAATTTTGCAATCGAGCGAATGCTTTGTACAATATTTCTTTTATTTCTAATAAACGCTTTTTTTTATTTGATATGTATAAATATACAAAATATAATTTTTCGAAAAATATAATACGTAAAACTTATACGTCTCATAAGAAATAAGTATATATGATTAATTCTTATGAAAAGATTCTTAAAGAAAAGAGAAAAATTTTCAATCGACAATATCATCGGCGATTCGCACGTTACTTTTTCAATAATGAAAACCGTTTGGCAAATCGTTGCAAACTTTTGTACGTGCGATCGTACAAAATGCACGTGGCCACTACGTAAACCACATTGCTTCCGCTATAAAATACGAATATCATGTTGTATTTTGAGAAAATTGTAGCTCGTTTCGTATATTTTTCTTACAAAACCACCACCTTGCAAAGCATCTTCCGTCGTCGTCGTCGAAAGAGAGAGAGAGAGGGAGAGAGAGAGGGAGAGAGAGAAAGAGAGGAAGAGGGGGGAGAGATAGAGAGAGAAAGAGAGGGAGAGGGGGGGGAGAGAGAGAGAGAGAGAGGGAGAGAGGAAGAGAGGAAGAGAGGAAGAGAGGAAGAGAGGAAGAGAGGGAGAGAGGGAGAGAGGAAGATAGGGAGAGAGGGAGAAAGGGAGAGAGGGAGAGAGGGAGAGAGGGAGATAGGGAGAGAAGGAGAGAGGGAGAGAGAGGGGGGGGGGCACAATTTATAGAGATTAGCCCGCGCGGGGCGAGAACTTGCGAATTGTGTTGATCGGAATGGCTGCGAAACTTTTCCACGTTTCGTTGTTATCCCGGGGAAATGTGAAAAAGTCAAACGAAAGACGCGGGGAACAGCATCGCGAGACTGAAACGACAGCGGATGCACGATAAGAATGTCCCCCGGGTGCGATGCAACTCTGTTCCAGCGTCCTTGTTGCGCGAAAATGCAAGAGAAGCTGAGCAGATCACTAGAAATCGCGCGAATGTTCTTCCACACACATATTCGGACATACTTTCATGTCTGATTATTTTTCTTTTCTTTTTGACGATAGAAGAAATTTTAATAACCTTTTGTGTCAGCATAGTTCTGACCACACAATACATAAGAGAGGGCAATTGCAAACTGAAAATATATAAAGCTATATATATATATATTTAATGTGCACAGATAAACTATATTTTACTTACTTTTAGCAATATTTTTTTTTTCTATTTTTATGCGAAGGATAAAAGATGCGAAACATAAAATCAAGTATGTGTAATAATAAATGTTTTTCTAAATAACAAAATATTTTTAAAAAATGTTTTTATTTATAAATAATAAAAATGTTTTTTAGATATCATGCACTCGCGAAACATTAAATGTTGTTGGACCATTAATATTTACACGTGATGCAATTATGTATATCCGCATGCATAACAAAATGCATTAAGACGTACACGTCCACTAATAACGGTGGTATATATATATCAACAATTTTTAATTTTAATAATTAAAAATACAAGAGGCAAAGCGCGATTATATCCGAAAATTATCCATTTTCCAAATTTTGTTCCCAATTTTATCACAAGCGTGATTCCGTCGTCGCAGGCGTCAACTGTTTACCATCATTTAGATTACACATCATGCATTTTGATTTAATTTTAAAATGAAAAAAGATTCTTACGAATAAAATTTTCACATTAAAATATGAAATGATATTCTTCTTGCTCATATTGATGCAACTAAACCGGAGATTATCTTGCATTAAGATGATCAATAATTATCGACTTTGCGATACGGACGATTTTAATAGCATTTATTAAATTAATAACGACAAGAACTTCGGGTTACAAAAAAGTGGAGCATGCACGTGTGGTTAGATAGTAATATATTGAGATAGGAAAATAGCCGGATATATATTTTTATATAATTAATAACGAAACAGTTTATATATATATAAAGTTCAAAATCACATCTTTTCGTTTGACTTTATAAAAGGATATTAAAGAAGATATTAGAAGGATATATGAATTAACACGCAAAAGTCACATTTTGCATTTATAAAATATATATAATAATGAATAAAATTATAAAAAATTTTCTCGCGCAACTTCATTAATGTTGCGTACAAATTAATTATCGCAAGAGAATTCTCCATCGCGCAAGATAAAAGCAATGCAACGTATAACTGATTTGAAATATTGCAATATGATACAGTGCGTCTATTATGGAGGATAACTAATTAACGAAGGATCGAGTAAATCAATGCATTTCGTGCATCGATGTGCAACACGTGGCCCTTGTGTAGATGGTCATATTGCGTCAGGATGAGAACTAATTATCCCTCTTCTGTATTGGTGATATGTAATCACGCTGTCCTCGCTGTTAATATGATATAGAGGTTCTAAAGGACCGGGATGATACATAAATACTATTCCCACGCTCTCGCGCTGACAAGTAATATTAATTATTTGGAACAAAGCATGACTCATGAAAACATCATTGCTTCGAAGAATGCTGTTTTAATTGATATGTTATATATACATCGACGGTTTTATATGGATTAATATATAATAATCGGTTTTATATGGATTAATATATATTAATATATACGATTTTGTATGAAATTTATGCATTATCATAGTCGCTGGAATTTACCCGAAATAGCTTAAATTTTTCGAAAAATGTTTATTATTATTTATTAATATATGCATTTTTATTTGCAATTACTTTGTAATTAAATGCTAGTCTATATACAAATTTACAAAAAATAAGTTTAAAGAATTATATGCTAAAAGATCATTACAATATCAGTTTATGTATTGCTATTTGCGCGAAACTAAAGTACAATAATAATACCATTACTGATGTTGGACTAATATTTCAGCATAATTTTTTTAGAACTTATCTTTAATAAATATATGACTCTTTTAGCATAATTTTTGAAACTTATCTTTAGGCGCAGATTATTATAAAGTGCAAAAAAATCTCGATAATAAATTGCTGCTCTCTGAGTCGACAACTGCGAACGACGAAAATCTTTCGGTCTTTATTGTGTGCAGTGTCCTTTTCGAGCCATTCGAATGTTCTTTGAGAGAGCAATAGTGAGAAACCGAGGCAACAGATCTATAACATCAATATAGGATCTCGATGAGATCTTTCGTACCCGTTCCATTCCTTCTGAACCTGCTACCCCTTATCCGATGGCGCTCCCCGCATTTTCGTGCCATCCTTTTACCTCGCTCTCTTTTTTATTTATTTTATGAAACGATGCCGGATACGGTATTAAATTCTTAAAGGATGTACCAATACGGATTTATCTTTTATGACTTGCCGCTTTTAATTCCATGGCCGTTTGTTCTTGCGTCTTATTTTGAAGTTTATGGCTGACCCTCTTAATACGACGAGACTCGTGAAACAAGTAACAAATGTGTAAGGAAAAATTCATTATAGATTCTCGAACGAATCATTTTCGTCTCTCGAAAGAATGCGAGAATTAATCCGTGATCTTTTTTTTCAACATATAAAGAAAAATATGTATTGAATCTCGAAATGTATTAGATTCATCTTTAAACGCACTCAGAGTACCAAAAAGAGAGTTTGGCAAATGTAGATGTATTCTTTTTTAATAAATTCGTTTATATTCGTCGAATAAACGAGATAAATTTTCCAGTGTGTTCGGAACAAGAGGAAAACGATGTCGTTCGAGAAGACGTCGTGTTGCGTGGCTTCACGAAACGAAATATGTTCACCCTTACACTAACATCAACGGTCGCGAGTTCACGCAAGTTCGTTTGTCTCGTGTCAGTCGACTCGGGAAAAAATTGCATTTTCGATTCACGGAAGTCTGTTTATTCACGTTGCTTCGTTATGAATACTCATTGCAAGTTTAGCTAGGTCGGTTTCCATGGAAAACATCGCTCGCACAATAAGCTCTACTCGTTTCGTTTCGCCACGCAATTTTTTCTTTTTTCTTTTTTTTATGGCAGAAACGAAAAGTATGCACGGTACTCACGTCGTATCGTTCCTGGATGTGGGGCCCGGCTTGCGCGATATAGAGCGTACTGGCGGTGTCGAATACTAATTCCTGGGGGATTCTGGTGACCCTCTGTCGGGCCATCTCGTGGCAATTGAGGTAGAAGGTGACATCGGTCGCGGAAACCTTAATGACGATCTTCGACCACTTCTTCGTAAGCTTCGGCACGGTAAATTTCGCCACCTCCTCCGAGTGCGAATGCTCGTCCGAGTTTGTATAAACCAACGAGACGTTCTGGTTCGAGCCCGGTCCGTCCTGCCAGCATAATCGAGAGAATGTAAAACTCTTGCAGATCTAGCTTGACACTTTGCATTCTAATTACATTTAAATTTCGTAATTAATAAAATGCAACTTTGCATGAATATAAGATTAAGCAATTAATTATTGAAAAAAATAAAGGTATATTTTTTTCACACAATATTCTGCATTAATAGATGAAAAGGAGGCACGATATAAATATATTATCACACACACATTTAAGAAAAACCACAAAGCAAAGAATTGTAAAATTAGATAATTTGAATAAATAAATAGTATCGTTATAATTTAATATTTTGAACAATGCCGATAGTTGAAAATATCCTTTCGAATATCGAAGCTTTCTAGAAATGTTCAAAGTAATCCGCTTTGCTTATCGTTCGGAGCACGTACGTGACATGTTACGAGAATAGCCCTTAAAAGGGGCGCGAGAAGAAATTTTAAGATTAAATGATACTATCGAGAGAAAGGGAATCGGAAAACAGAAAATAGCGTTTAGTAAATATTATAGAAATAGCTATGTGGTTTGAGACAATTGCATTTTAAAGACGAAAAATCATAAAGAACAAAAAAATCATTTTTTAAAAATATTATATTACAGTATGTCTTCTCAAAAAGCATTCTTGACATAAAAATGTAATTCATAATAAAGATGCACGCAGAATAAAAACTGCTTTAGGCACTATTGTAAGTATTTTTTAATTAAATAATAATTATGATTAAATGCTTAGCTAAAAATGTAACTATAAAAAGTAATTATAAAAAGTAAATGTAATTATAAAAAACTTTTTCTTTTTTAACTCTCTAAATTATAATCACAATTTTGATTATGATATCGCTGTGAGAGTAATATTATCTAAAAAATAAGAATAAATAGGAAATTACTGCAAGAAATCTTATCACCACAACCACGTATATAATAATCTCTTTTCCGCTTATTCATTCATGAAATAATATTACAAAAATATCGCAATTACATTGATAAAATCCTGTTAAGGAGCTAACTACCCAGATGTTAAAGCGTATTTCTTTATAATTTGATATATAAGTTATATATCAAATAACCTTCTATTTCACGTTCATTTTCTCATTTCCGCAAGGCATTTGCCTCCTTTTTCATCTCATATACGCTATTATTTTCTTCAACATTATACTATTACTCGTTTAGTCATGCCGTGTAGCAATACGACTCGCTCATAATCTTTAATAAAATCGTATAATGTTTTGTAAAAGAGATATCTCGGCGAATCGGAAATAATTTAAGTCGTTGCAAAAGTCTCGGTTGCAGAAAAAATTAGAGATTTAAGAGACGTATATTATACGCTTACCGAAATTCTAATGCCCAATTGGACGACGGTTTCGAAGGGATTAAGGACGGCAAAGAGGTAGCTCGTACGGAAAGAGGTCGGCTTAAATGTGGCCACTAGAGTGAACTCGGCTGGCAACTTTTCCGGGAGGTACAATCTGTGTGGTTGTTTCACTTCGGATCCGGGTCGAAAGCCAAATGCCGGGAATCCGTCCAGACCGTCATCTATATAAAGATTGTTATCGTCCGTCATTGACGACACCGACGCCTCCATTAAATCGTATACTACTTCTGAAAGCATAAAACATCAATAGTTTCTATTAAATTGAGTTTAACTGTGGCAAAGTCGTTAAATGTTGACGGTTCGAGCAACTAATTGATCTAACAATATTGAATTATCATAATAATATTAAATTGAAATGCTACATAGATTGATAGGTGTAATCGAGGTTATTTGAGAACAAACTTTGAGCAGAAATAAATTAATGCATGCATAAATTAATGTTAATTAAAATTGTTGATATTGTTTTGTTTGTGAAACAATTGTTGTTGAAGTAGAAAAAAATATATGGTAAGATATAACGTATGATTTTCCCGCAACACTGAAAATTATAAGTATTTTTGATAAAAAATTCTAACAAAGATTATTCGTAATCCAGAAATTTAAAAAGTTATCTCTTTCTACTAATTAATCTTATCTTAATGAGCTTTATTTCTACTTGCAGAATTTGTTCTTGGATACAAAACAATAATCTGTTTTGTATAGACCTTTTTGTATAAATTAACAAATACATAGTAATGCATCGCTTCATATACACATTCTGGTCCGATTAGTTATGGGAATCCAATGAGAACAAGGTTAATTAAGAAAACTGTTAAGAACGGGATATTTCGCGAAAAAGTGTTCTGTCCGAGAAAACTACGAAAGAGTAGTTCCGAGCGAATGTAGAAACTTTAATTAATTTTTCGCGCGCGGGTTTTAAGAGTCGAGAGAGAGAGAAAAAGAGAGAGAGAGAGAGAGAGAGATTAGTAAGTGATATTCTAATAAGATTATTTCAGGGTAAAATTATTTAACGATTAACGTATCTAGTTGTAAATTTGTTGATTGTGTAAAATCGAGATATGCCGAAAAAATTTTGTCATCGATTCCTAAAATGAAAAACCTTTAACAAATTAAATCACAAAAATTCTATTATTTATTGGAATATTTAAATGTAAAAAATTGCTTTGAATATCGAAAAATAATCTTGTTGCAAAAAAATGCTATTACTAGAAACATTTTTGTAATGCTGACAATTAATAAAAGAAAAAATATCGATATAAATGAATTGATTTCTAAAAATGTATTACATATCTCCAATTTTGCAAATATTGTTGAGGCTTTATAATAGAAATTTATAATATTTCGTAACGGAATTTTTTTTTATATGCTGCATCCAGAGAATAAGAGTTTTAAATCATTTATATGAAGTTTTTATAATATCGATAATTACTGAATAAAAATATAGTAAAACTTTATTGTAACAAAACATTGTGTTGTATGCGTGTGCAATCTGTGCACACACGGTATGATTAAGATCATAATTCTTTAATATATGACAACACCATTTTGCTCGCCATGCGTCATGCTTCGTCCTATGACACTCGATACATCGCGTGATATTCCACGGCTGAAAGCCCGATAACCGATATTTATTGTCGGGGACACAGGTTGCCGCAGTAAATCGCATTAAAAATCCTTCGTGCGAGCAGACATCGACACGCTCGACTAGTCATTGCTAAAAGACGCTCCTCGTTACACTAAATCATACCTAATATTGTTGCATGAAGGATTCATCAGCACATACTAAAATATGTAACTTTGCTGCCTTTGATAAGCACGAGTGAGATTATTCCTAAGAATTATGTTATTAATTAAAAAAACGAATGTTTTTCCATTTCTTTTTTTTATATTATGTTTTCTAAAAAAATATACAAACGTTGAAGCCAAAAAAAAAAAATATTTTAAAATAGTACCGTATCCAGATTAATAAAATATATTATCTTTACGTATAGTGCTCGCTTCATTCATATCTTTTTTCCTACACATATTCTCATATCATAAGCAGTTGCTCTAACAGCGAAATTCGTGAGCAAAGTAAAATTGTCCAACGAAAATACACGTAACAGCATGTCGGCGAACAGCGTAGGTTAAATTATCGTCACGCCCGAGGTAATTTCCAAATTGCATTTGGCTGCACCATATTCTCGTGTAACATATTCATTTCTATGGTCACGAGAACGTTGAGTGCCCCACGAATTCTCGTTTTCCTATCCGACTTGTTTTCTACAGGCTACATTTTTTTGCGAACTGCAAGTAGAGTGGTCTGTTCTGCGAAAGTAAACCAATTTTTTATTTATACAAACTGCAAATATGAAACTGGGTGAATATATGTCCGACGAATATATTTCGAGATTTGAGAGCTGTAAGAAAATTGATAATATATATCTTATATGTATGTATTTATTAGATTTATTCAACAACACAACAAAAAAGTATCTTCAGTTTATATTATCAGTTAACAAAAGTAAAATTACTGATACATTATTTATTAATAACAAATTTTATATGAATTTTTTATATCGTTTTTTTAATATCCTTGAATATTTATTCTCCTTACTCTTAAAAAATCAAATCTTATCAATTTCGAGACGTCCTTAATCACGACTAAAAAATTTGATTTGCACAATTGTAAATGTAACAAACATTATCATCGCGTACATGTATGTATATAAAATGTAGAAGAATCACTATTTTTTTTTCTCTAAAGAGAGATGGATTGTTTAAAACGTACTTTCTACTGTTTTCCGATTTTCAGACAGATTTTGGAAAATATCCGAAACGTTTGCAATAACAGTAAAGAAGATTTCAATGCTTGATGGATTGCAGCGTCGAATTGATATGCACAGTGATTCGAACGCCGGTATAGGAACTAACCGCGCGACCTCCTACGCCCGTATACGCTCCTGACGCGGATCTCTATTTTGCGCCGAAATTGCGATAGGCCCGAGTCATTTCGAAGCTCAAACTAGGAAGCACGGAGTATGCAAATTGGAAGAGGTGATAGTAATTAAAGCGCGAAGACGGGACTTAATGAACGAGCGGATCTCGAGTGTGCGCTTTCTTTTCATAATAATCGTCACACGGAAACGTGATTTCACAGGAATTCGCTTATAATACATTAATGGAATTTTATTTGTGTTTAATTTATTTCGACATTAATTAATAACTTTCTTATTATTTTCTCGCGATAAATGTGTCACGTTCACATTTCCGTTAAAAATCTTGCGCTATCATAAGTGTATAAAAGATTTATTATTACGCTTCTCTCTCTGAAATTGTAGATGAGATTTTTCGCGCTGATATATTCATATATTTTGCAATAACCATATATTAACAGCTATCATTTTTACATCGTGTGATGAATGCTCGATATTTGTATATAAAATAATAAATTATTATTTTTTGTAAAAACCACGCAGTCGTATCAGTAAAGATTAAAATGGACATCATCGTTTACCGATTGCACAATTGCATTCCACTTCGATAAATTAGCCAAAACTTTGTCATTTTGTCGTCGGGAGTATACCTTTAAATATATTCCAGCGTGAAAATAGTTTTGAATTTTCTAGAGGCTTGGGGATATGCGCGCGCAAAATTGTTATTTTGTTCGAGGATAATTAGGTAATAAACTCCATTCGCAAGCGCGCTTATTGACGTTCAAAAAATTTATTACAAATTATTATTATAATAACGTGCATAATATGCAATTTTACGCGAGTCCGCTCCGCCATAATTCTCGCTTCCATCTTCGGAATTTTGCGCGAATACATTTGCATAAATTCGTATGCCAATTCGCCGTGTCAGCTCGTTACAACTTTCCCGATGGCGCATACAAGAATCCATGAATCTCACAAATCGAACAAACGAATTGAACGTTTCAATACGAGTCGAGATGCAAATGTCTTCTTTAAACTCTCGACGCGCGAAGAGAGTTTTGCTGTCGGTTTCTATGCATCTATCCACGCTGCAATGCAGTCTATGTTGTTTGTTGCGGTGTTTGTTACAGGCTGATGTTTTTATTTCATTATCTGATTTTTGCATGATGTATTTCTGCGTTATTTTTCGTATTATTTTGAATGTTATATTGTTATATTTTTCTTCCATTAGCACAAATAAAATTACTTAAGATGTATCAGTATATATAACTTATAATGCGGTTATATGTATTTCAAGATAATATACACAATAGTATACACAAGATAATATACACAAGTGTTATTTCAAGAAATAATGCATATACATTATTTAATGTTTACCTGAGTTTGACACATGTATAATTAATGATAATTATATAATATTATTTAGCAAGAAGATTATTTTATTTATTGTAATAACTATAATTTATATAGTAACAATTTGTTATTTTTACAAATTCTAATATAATTATCTAGTTATAATTAAAAAATGCTATTAAAATCAAGATGTATAAAAAGTTTGTATAAAAATTGATTTGATCATTGATAATAAATAATGTTGTCAATTTTCCTAACGGTTACGTTCCAAAAAAAACTTATCAAACATCAGAAGTAAAAAATCGAGTACACATGTAGGCAACATTGTCGCTATTGCAAAGCCTGGTCTCCGTGAGAATAAAACGTGAGAAAGACGTCTTGGGAGACATTCTTACATTCCAGCAAGTTTCGTGATCTCCCATCAGGGATGGCTCTTTTCTTCGGTCTTGCAATTCTGCAGTTTTTGCGAACGGTTTATTTCTGGCGCGCGGAGAGTACGCTCGTCTCATATTTTTGCATATTTTAATGCACGAGAGGAATGCTATTGTTAGCTATCTTCACATATTTTTAAACGTACAGATTGATTAAAATGAAATCCATAAACAGTTTTACAAAAACTATGTGAGATACATGAAAGAACACACATATTACATATATGTACAAATTGTAAATTTTAAAAAAGATATTATTTATTATTAAAAAACGTTGAAAATGAATTGAGTATAGCTGCGGTTAAAATAAATATCAATATACAATAAAAATCAAATAAACAGATTAAATTCTTATAAATGCATAAATATAGATTTTTTTATTGCATGAATATTGCCATATAGAAATAATTAATACGTTATAATATCTTCCTACAAACTACATGTATAAAAATATAATATCTCTTCTAAATTCTCTCTTTCCAACCATGCTACGTGTGGTAATTGTGGAATATTATAATTAGTTAT